GCAGCAAGCTTGCCCCGCCTCCCCCTGCTCCAAATTTAAGTTTTTTTTTTTTCCATATCCAGAATCTAATTGGGGGGGGGGGGGTATCTTAGATTCAGGTAAGTATGGTACTGATTTCTTAAAGATGACTTAGCTTAACTCACAGGTTGGCAACTTACGGCCTGCAGAGCAATTTGATCTTGTCTGCAGAGATGAACCTTCAGTAGGTGAATTGTTCCTGTCCTAATCAAGTGGGCAGGCTGTTGACATTCTCGGTGTGACATTGTGGGGAAATGCGGTGGCAGCTGGGTCCCAGAGTCCATGTGCCACCCACCTCTGACTTGAACTGGGACAATTCAGCCTGCAGCCTGAAAAGGTTGCCAACTGCTGCCTTGAGTGAAAGGTTCTGACATTGGGAGTAGTAGTACTGCTTTGAAAGGCTTGTTTCAGTATCTGCACTGCATAGTTAATCTGGTACCTGAAAATTCAGTTAATTTATGTATTTTTTAAAAATTAAAGTCCTGGAATTGAGTAGTTAGATGTTTTGAAACAAAAGCTAAAACTGCTGCTAGCACTACTGATGATGATGCTGGACCTAGCAGTTCAGCTAATGTGGCCTTGGCTTCCAAAGTCCTACAAGTTTATGAAGTGTTTTCAACAGTTAGAGGTAGGTAAGCTGAGTTGGCTTTACATCTTGTAAAAGCAAGCATGGAATAAATTATGTTTCCATAGGTTACACAGCAAGTGACCAGTGTCTTCCCATGAGTCAGGAAGAATCTTACGTGGTAAGTTTCTGTTTAGTAGCATGTGCCTTTTGTTCGTGTAGTCATCCATTTAGATTTGGATTTATAACAATGCCCTTATTTTATTACATGCAAAAAATACTTTCAGGTGTATAGTCAAGCATGTAAGCAGTAAATACTAGACTGTACAATCTTAATTTATCCCTCTTTATAACTTTTGATGACCTTCAGTCTCTGGAGTCCAGTTGTTCTGTCATATTGGTATCCATCAGCTAGATAAGCCAGTTTGATTCCTCCCATTTTCATTATTTACAGATATTTTTGTGCTGTAGCTTAAGTGGCTACACCCTGATTCTAAGGTGGTTTTAACTTTTAAACCTGATTGTAGGCATTGTAACTAGTGCTTTTTGGAAATTTTAGATTACAATGAGTAGGTTATATTATAATGGCTCTAAAGGCCATTCATTCTGGGTACTGAAGTTAACAAAATATAGGGTATTAATGTCCTGAATTTGTAGATGCAAATTATCTCTTTGACTTTCCTGGCTTTTTGCATGCTTTAATATTAAGCATGAATAAACTTACAATTTAACTTCCAAATCTGCATTATTTTCTTTAACATAAAAGGAAAAAAGTGCTTGAAAAACAGAAGAGTATCACTCTTAGTTGCATGTATTAAGTATAAGGATTACAAAGTACAGGTTCTATAGCCCACAACAGTGGCCCTTCTAGAAGCACCTGTAAAACTGCATGGGTTTTAAATTGTGACATTTTAATTTTGTCCTGGTTAGAACACTGTTTTTTGACCTATGGGAGTTCAATACGCTGGAAGATTGGTGGTAGATTAAGCATGGATTAATAGCAAATTAATTTTATCTGTGGTGTTATCACACTAAAGATGTTGGAGGCCCTGTGTGGCTCTTTCAGCTTCTTGTGAGCTTGCTAAGTGTGAAACCTCAGGACTACATCTGTAGAAAACTAGAGAAATGAGTACACAACCTCTGCTTTACTAATTGAATCATAAAATGGGGAAAAAGTACAAATTTTTAGTTTTTGCCCTGCTTTAGAATTTTTCTTCTGTGAATTTCAAGAGTGCTTTATCTGACAGTTTTTTGGTTTTGTTTGTTTTTTAGTGTAGTAATTTTTCAGATTATCAAAAAATCTCAACAGCTTGCCAATATGTATGGTCATCCATATGGCATCTTGACAAAAGGTGCAATTTTGTAGTTAAGTTCATTTGTCAAAAAAAGAAAAAAGTAATCTTAATTGAACACTGTAGGGTACATTACTATAGTATTCCATAATACGCAATTAAACTTTTTTTTTTTTCCTGGTAAAGATTCGAGTCTCAGAATGAATAATTATTTTATAGTATGCAGCATAGTATCGTTCATATATCTTTGTAGTTAGCTACTAAAACCACCTATAAAGTCTATTTCATTTTCAGCTGTTCTTCCTGCAAGAAGATGAAATGGAGCCTCTTTCAACAGAATTTCTCAAAATTCTATATTTTGTTTAGATTAAAAGACTTTAGCAACCACCAGTTGAAGCTAGTTCTCCCTTCCTTTTTAAACAAGTGGGAGACTGGTTTGGTGGGCACAACTTACAGGTATTATGCCACAATCTAGTAATTTAACATGGATAAATAACAAAATATCTTGTTTCTGAAATTGGTGTAATTTGTTGCAAAGAAAATGAGAACCAGCTCCTCACGTAAGTACAGCCAGTTTAATCATTTTAAATGTGTTCTGGAAGTTCATTGAAAATTTTAGAAATGATTTGTGCTATATACGAATGGGTGACAAAATGATGATAGTATCCGAAGATGCCAGTCAGGATCAAGACTCATTTGTAGTGGTACTTTAATAATACAATGGAAAACCCTGATGGAACAATTTAAAAGGATGCAAAAAGGAAGGATGATTAAACGCACTGTAATTTTACACAGGTTCAAATTCATGGTCATTTTACATGTAGCTAGCCTACCTAAAGATCCTGAATATTTTTCAGGAGCGAGGAAGTTGTGTACTCCATGGTCTCCCTCCCATTACAAGTGTTGAGGATATGCCTGGTAGTGTAGGAAAGTTTGAGGAGTAATGGGGTGGGGGGAAATGGGATGTGCATGCTGCAGGTGAGTGAAATTTGGAAGTGGAGGTATTGTGCAGGGAGTAATCTTTTGCAGAATGATGATCAATAAAATCTTAGTATTGGGAATCAGAATGCAGTTGTTTGGGAGGCCTGCTGTGCAAAGTGAGTTTCAGTGTTAATGAGGAGTGTGGCTGGAGTCCTACTTTCAGGGCACTTGCACACATGGGGGCAGTCTGGTCTGACGCTGGAAATCCATTGCCTGGGAGGAGACTTGATTAATCGAGTCTGCTGGAACACATAAATTGGGATGGTTTGACAGCCTTGTGTGTTGCACATCAGTGGTGCAGCACACCTCTGTGCTGAGAAAATGGCAGTGGTGTGCTTTGAACTAAAACATATCTGTGCTTTAGTTCAGAGCGCGCTACTGCCATCTTCTCAGTACGGGGGCATGTTGCACTCCTGATGCACATGGTGTATAAGCACTTCTAATTAGCGTGGTGCTGTGTCAGGAACACATGGTTAATAATGAGCTTAGTTTCATAGTTGGTAGGGTCGGAAGGGGCCGGAGTGGATCATCAAGTCTGACCCCCTGCCTTGGCAGGAAAGAGTACTGGGGTCAAACGACCCCAGCAAGGTGTTCATCTAGTCTCCTCTTAAAGACCTCCAGCACCACTTCACTTGGAAGTTGCTTCCAGATCCTAGCTGCCCTGACAGTAAAGTAGCGCCTCCTGATATCTAGACTGAATCTACCCTCTG